CCATGTCCTCTTGTTGTCTGAGTTAGTTAAGAATGAAAAATAGTTGAGCCTTGTATCACTTGCTCTCATACCATGTTGGGCTGAGAAAAGCCCTTAGGATCTTTTGATAGCTAAGGCTCAGTGCAATGTATTAGCGGAAGCGTCTTTTAATGAGACTTGATTGAACCACCTTGTACTGGTATGTGAGAACAAGATAAGTTCAATTATATTGCAGAGATACAAGGTTTATATATGATTACAAGGATAACATAGAAACCGCTTTATGTTTAACCGTTACTGTAACCTCTAATGCGATTCGATACAGCGACGACTCGGGTAACTGCTCAATGTCGAGTTCAGTTATTTGTCCTTGCTGTCGCGCTGCCTCGGCGAGTCAAAGGTCGCTGATCTTTGACCTTCGCTTTAACTTCCGACTGTTGTCACTTTTGTCAACCGCTTTACTGTAGCTCGGTTGACTCGGTATTGCTTCGCTTAGGACTTGTTTCGATCTTTTTGTAGTGCTTCGACATTCCAGAAGCGTGTTTTCATGTTTCCAACTAAAACAACTCACCCGCACTGTACAAGAAAGCAAAAACAAAGAGTACATCTCATAGCATTGCACAAGAAAACAAAAGCAGAGAATGCAGCTGACACACTAGAGACAAAATAAGCACAATAGAAAAAGATGAGCAATGGGTTTGACAGCTCACAGAGGAAAATTGGTATCAGTCATGGCACCACAGATACTACACCAGCATGATGCCATGCCTTGAAGCCACCCTCAAGTTCAACTTCACACTCACCTTCGCACTCACTCTTGTACTCAATCTCACACCCACTCACACACGCACAAATAATCTCAAATTTCTTAGACACACTCACAGAAGCACACATACAAACCTACACGTTCACTCTGGCACTTACCCTCGCACTCATGATCGTTCTCATTCCCAATCATACTAACACAATTACTTACACGCGCACGCAAGCAGACTCACACGCACCCTTGCACTTACACTCGCACTTGCTCTCGAATTCACCCTAAGACACACACTCGCATACAGTTTCGCTCTCAGCCTTGCACTCACACGCACACCCACTCATCCTCGCACTCACCCTTGAACTACCCTCACGCTCGAGCTCACACTCACCCCAAACCCTACACCATCATATTTACACTCACATTTAATCTCGCACTTGCTCTTACTCTTGCTCTCGTTCTCAACCTTGCACTCACCTGAACACGCACCATTGTACTCCCTTTCATATTCACCCGCATTCGCTTGCACGCACCCTCACACTTACCCTCAAGTACATGCGCGCACTCACACTCGCACTCACACCTGCTTTCGCACCCGGATTCAAAACCGCCCACACACCCTCACACACTCTCGCAACCACTCACGGACGCACATTTACTTTCAACCGTTCGTAGACACACCCTCAGAAACACAAACACACACCCTTACACTCACCCTCAAACTCGCGCACTCACTCGAACACTTTCACACTCACACAGTCGCCGGCATGGTGGCACCCTTGAACTCAACTCACACCCACACCCACACTCACGCTCACACTCTCCCTTGCACTCACTCCCCTACTTGCCCTTGCACACACCATCTTACTCACACACCCTCGCACTCACACCCGTGCTCACACTTGCACTCAACATCGCAGCCACCATCGCACTCACTCTTGCACTCTCTATCGCACTCACTCTTCACTCAAACACATGTGATGTACTCTCAACTCTTCTTCGACAATCACAGAAACACACAGAAAAACTCTTGCACTCATCCTCGTACTAGCCCTAGCACACACTCAAACGGACCCTCGCACTCCCTCTTGCACTCACATACACACTCACACTCGTACTCACCCTCAAATTCGCCCTAGCACTCACTCTCACACTTGTTTTCGCACTCACACTCGCACTCACTCTCGCACTTGCCCTTGCCTTCACAACCGCACTCACCCGGAAGTGCACGTGCACATCCAAGTCTCGCCCTCACGTCGCCCATGCCCAAGGCGACAGCACCCTAAGTGCAAGCGCCCACGTCGCCCGCGCCCACTGCACCAGCGCCTTAGGCGCAAGCGCCTCCGGCGCAATCGCCCTCAGCGCCAGCGCCTCATCGGGCAGCACCCATGGCGCCCGCGCCCTAAGCGCAAGCGCGTTAGGTGCTAGCACCCACCGAGCCCGCCTCAACGGCGCAAGCGCCCACGGCGCCAACGCCCTATGCAAAAGCACCTTATGCGCTAGCGCCCATGGCACAAGTGTCTTAGGCGCAAGCGGCCACGGCGTCTGCGCAATGAGTGCAAGTGCCTTAGGCTCCAGCACCCACGGCGCTTGCGCCCACGGCCCCAGCGCCATAAGCGCAAGCGGTTAAGGCACAAGCGCCAATGGCGCCCGCACCGACGGCGCAAGCGCGCGGCGCTCTCTCTCTCGCGCCTCTCCCTCCCACTCTCCCTCCTGCACGCTCTGCCACCCTATCTCCCTCTAGTGCTTCCTTCGCTCTGACACCCACACTCTCCTGCGCTCTCGCTCCCTCGCGCTCCCTCTTCCCCCTCTTCAAATGGTAGTACAACGCAAGAGACCAATCAACACACAGAAACTACATATAAGATAGGAAATCGAACTTTCAGTAGGGGGAAGGGAGGAAAAAAGGACCGAGAAAGGTAAAAACACCTGGAATTCACGGTGCAGAGACCAACCCGCGCTCGTGCACCAGCTTGCTCGTGACCTGTCGCCAGAGGCGGCGGCGGAATGGGCGGGTAAGGCGACGGCGCGATGGGGGGAGAGGCGACAGCGGGATGAGGGGAGAGGCGACGGCGAGATGGGAGTGAGCGGCGATGGCGGGATGGGGGGAGAGGCGACGGCGGGATGGGAGGGAGCGGTGACGGCTGGAAGAGGGAGCGGCAACGGCGGATGGGAGGGAGCGGCGACGGCGGATGGGAGGGAGAGGCGACGGCAGGGAGGAGGGGGACATCGGAAAAATGTGGAACCAGTGGATGCCGAGTGGTGGGGGTTGGGCCTGGATTTCTTGGTTGAAGTCCATGTCGTGCATGATAGTAAATAGGGTTGTTGGGGCAGCGTGGTGGTGAATGGCAGTCGACCGTTGGAGGAGTGTGGTTTACGTACGTAACCTGCAGTTGACGGGAACATCGTAAGTGGTTCGTTGGGAACACAATCGGTCCTCACGGTGCAAAATCGGTAGTGGTGGTTTCAATTTGCACACGTGGCAGGAAATGGACTGGTTGTTGTCATTCACGATCAGGAGCCCATCACAAATAGGCTGGGCGCTTTATTCAGATGGAGTGCATCGCGATAGAGTTCGATCGGTCCACTAGTTATGTTGAAACATTGAGTGTAGTGTAAATACAAAGTATGTTTACTCGTTATCTTATGGAAAACAATCTCGAAGTTCTGGGTTGTAACTGTTTTGGGTAATCGCATTTTGATTGTGTTTAATTGGTGTTGATATTTGGGTGTTGTGTGTACTTTGGAAGGGCCTTGGGTAGTACAATGTCTTTATGATGTATCTTTTTTTCCCATTATTCATTTAGGTAAATTCTAACACCTTAGTTTTAAGATTCAGATTGAGCTGCTTGTAAGCTGGGACGCTAGTTGCTTTAAGGAGTTCCTCAAATTGAGGTGTGCGAGCTAGATTTGAGGGTGTCAAGAATTTTGGCTTCGCGCCCATTTTACACGTCTTCGGAAATTCCCCTCCTTCACCCACTCGCGTCCATTGGTTGATCCCACAGTTAAAGTTATATTTCTGGTCGTAACCAGTTTAAGGGGTATCCATTCCTAGATGAGCACGTGCTAACCCCTTTTTCGGGGCTGGCAGAACACGTCTGCACGGGGGTAGGTTCAAACCCAGGACCTCATCTATCGGAAGCGCCTCCTTCTACTGACTAGGCCACTTCTGGAAGGTTGATCCCACAGTAATAGCATGCACCCAGAAGTTTCCTTCTGGTCCAGTTCGACTTCTCAGTGTCTCGAAACCATACCCAAACGCAAAGAAATTTACCTGAAACGCTCTGACATGCACAACATCTCATTCCACCGGATTGAAGCTATATATGTCACACTGACTCACGTTGTCGTGCTAGAGTTGAGATTCAGCACCCCCTCTCATGAACAGTTTCCGTCAGTTCTCTTGACACTCGTCAGCACAACGAGACACTTTGGACTCAGACCATTGTGCTTGTTACTCCAAGTTAATGCCTTAGTTAGTGGGTGTGATCACCACCGACTCAATCTTCTTGTGGCCTGTATCTCTGCACACAAGGCCATCCGACGTACCAGGGTTCGAAATAGGTTCTCGCCACGGTGGTTTCGTGTGGATCCATGTCGTGTTTCTCTGCGGGATGTTTGACCCACTTATGAGAATCTAAAGGTGTGTCTCCAGTCACTCCAAACGCCTCGCGTGGCCTTTGCATCCGTGTGCGTCGTCGCATTTTCCCTTCCATCCGCTCATTCCGTGCGCGCCGTGTTCAGTCCCCTCGTCCGTTCCTCCCTTACCCGCCACATCGCAATTGGTGTCTTGTCCGCACCCGTCCTTTCCTTCTAGACGCCCGTGCCGGCCTCTTCCTATTCACCCTCCCGTGGGCTTTACTCATGCGCGCTTCATCCCGCCCTACCCCCCTGTCCTTTCCTCTTGTGCCCACCGCGTCGCATTCTGTCTCCCGTCCACTTTTCCCGTGCTCGACGGCGTCCCTCCCCTCTGTTGCATTCCTCATGTGCCCCATTCCCCCTACCGTCCGATCCTCCCGTGTGCTTTTCGGCTCGTCACTCTTGTCCTTGTATCCGCGCCTCGCTCGTTTCCCTCTCTCGTCCGTCCCTTGCATCCGCGCCTTGTTCCCATTCCCTCTCTCGTCCGATCCTCCGTTCCGCACCTCGTCCCCATTCCTCGTCTTGCCGGAACCTCCTCTTTGCGACGTGTCTTCGGTTTCCTTCGATAAGCACTTTGTCTCATTCCCGTCTGTTCCTCTCCTCCGTGCGCGTGTAGCCTCGTATGTTCTTCTCCCGTGCGCCTTCTCTCTCATTTGCCCCTGTTTCTCTCCTCCCGTGCGATTCTCTCTCATTCTTCTCTGTTTCTCTCCTGGTTGTGCACGTCCTCTCTCATTCCCCTCCGTCTCTCTCCTCCCGTGCGCGTTCTCTCTCATTCCGCTCTGTCTCTCTTCTCCCGTGCGCTTTCGCTCTCATTCCCCTGTGCGCCTCTCCTCCCATGCGCATGTCGTCCCCTCTGCTCATGTCCTTCCGTGCCCGTTCACTCTCATTCCCCTCTGCGCCTCTCCTCCCACGCGCATTTAGTCTCGTTCCCCTCAACTCCTCTCCTCCCTTGCGCGAGACCTCTCATTCCCCTCTGTTCCTCTCCTCTAATGCGCGTTTTGGGTTATTCCCCTCTGCTCCTCTCCTCCCTTGCGCCTCCTCTCTTTTCCCCCACTGCTCCTCTCCTCCCGTGCGCCTACACTCTCATTCCCCTCTGCTCCTCTCCTCCCGTGCGCCTCCTCTCTCAATCTCCTCTGTTTTCCTCCTCCCGTGCGCCTCCTCTCTCAATCTCCTCTGTTTTCCTCCTCCCGTGCGCCTTCTCTATCAATCTCCTCTGTTTTCCTCCTCCCGTGCGCCTTCTCTATCAATCTCCTCTGCTTTCCTCCTTTCGTGCGCCTTCTCTCTCATTCCCCTCTGTTTTCCTCCTCTCGTGCGCCTTCTCTCTCATTCCACCATGTTTCTATCCTCTCTTGTGCGCAAACACTCTCATTCCCCCATGTTTCTATCCTCTCTTGTGCGCAAACACTCTCATTCCCCTCTGCTCCTCTCCTCCCGTGCGCCTCCTCTCTCAATCTCCTCTGTTTTCCTCCTCCCGTGCGCCTTCTCTCTCAATCTCCTCTGTTTTTCTCCTCTCGTGCGCCTTCTCTATCAATCTCCTCTGTTTTCCTCCTCTCGTGCGCCTTCTCTCTCATTCCCCTCTGATTCACTCCTCCCATGCTCCTTCTCCCTCATTCCCCTCTGGTTCACTCTTCCCGTGCGCCTTCTCTCTCCCGTACGCTCATCCCCTCTGTGCCCCGCTTGCTCCTCGCTTCCTATGCCCGTATTTTCTCAGTTTCCACACTTCTACTCTCCTCATATGCTCGGCTTCTCTGTTTTGCGGACTGGTGCTCTGTCATGGTGCTTTTCTTCTTTTTTTCACCCTACTCACCCCTCTTCTCCCATGCTCCCTATCTTTCGGCTTGCTTGGCAGATGTCCTTCCTATGTCCAAGATGCTGCCTTTGTTCCTTCGAGACACGGTCAGGGCTGGGTCGGCACATGCAGAGCAACGCCTGCCCTGCCAACCTCGTCAGTAGCAGCGACCAGCTCTAGGCCCCAAAGCGTGCAAGATCGAGCGTCGTCCATCCGAACCCCATACCGCGAGCAATACTTCGGCTGGAGCCTACGCAATCCTTTGTAGGACCGAGTGTCGATGCAGACGTGTGTAATGATGTACCTGAAATGCCATATGATGATGCTGCACACTTTACTAGTGATACTACATCATCCACTGACTCAGTAGATTGCGTTCTACCTTTAGAACAAGATGACGATGTAACTAGTAATGTTGGTGCCTCGTGTGCTTTTGAAGATGGGGGGGGCAGCATCTCAAGCAGGTGCAGAATTACTGGCAGAGGAAGCGGCGCCCAAGTTCAACCTCAAGGATGCTCTTGCTCATTGGATCCTCTCCAACCGGCTCTCGATCAAACAGATCAACGCGTTGCTGGAAATCCTGCGCAAGACCATCCCTGAAATTCATGATTGGAAGACCTACCCCGACGTTCAAGCGTACGCACAGTCCAAGGCGACTGATTGCCACTGCGGGTGGCGACGGAAGACCATCCGGTCGCGAAACAAAGCGTGGCTGGAATTTTGGTACTGTGATCCTTTGATTGCTCTTCAAGATTTGTTGAAGCACCCTAAGCTGGCCGCTAAGATGGTGTTTCATGCAGATCCTCAATACGTTGGAAATGTGAGGGTGTTTAGCACCCCAGAAACTGGCCTTTGGTGGGAGAGGTTGCAAACGTTGGCGCGCGAGGAGGATCCGAATGGAGTAGTGGCTGCTTTGATCATTGCGAGCAAAGAAATGCATATGGATCATAGAGGGAAAGCGAAGGGGCATCCCGTGTATCTCACACTAGGAAACATTGATAAGGATGACAGGTGTCAACCCTATGGTCACGTGCTTCTAGCACTTCTCCCCGAGTTTCATGCTGAGTACAACGTGGTGGACAAAATGCAAGCCCATAACTACATCATGAGACATGTGTTGCAATCGCTCAAGACGGCTTACTACACAGGCATTGCAATGAAGAATGCAGCAGGCGAGAGCATCAACGTGTGGCCCTACTTGTATGCATATGTGTCGGACTATCCGGAGTCGTGCAAGATCACTTGCACGAAGTCGTTAGGAATCATGTTCCCTTGTTCGATATGCAAGGTCGATAAGAAACATTTGGCACTGTTGCAGGATTGTATCGATACTCGGACACCGTGCGAGCAAGATACCATTGCGCGTGACATTCTGGAAGGTCGGGTCGCGCCCGATGCGGACGCAACCTTGTCCACACACCCACTGCAGGTAACCATCGTTAGAGTTTCTTTTAGGTGCTACTCTTTACGTATATCATCTTATGTTACTAACACCCTTGAGCTGGTTTTGACTTGTGCAGAGCTTCCTTAGCGGTCGGAGGTGGGAGTCCAACACAATTCTGAACCAGTACCTTGCGGTGCTACCTGATGTAATGCATCAAGCGGATTTGGGCATTTTTTAGCACATTGTTGACTTCATTCGCGTGCATTTGAAGCTGTTGGCTGATAGGAAGAAGCTGGATAGAATTCTTAGGTACTACAAGAAGAACATTGGGGGGAGAACATGCGGTTGCCATCGGGCCAGTACTTCGAAAAGGGGGCAAACTATTAGGCCTACGAGCACCGTTCTGTTATGCAGATACTTCCCTTCATTGTGAAGGGATCTATCACGCAGGAGGACGCACTCGACTCGTACATTGAGTGGTATCTCGAGTGCGCGCGGGCATCGGAGCATACCGAGACCACACCCATTGAATTCAAGACGAAGATGTATGGTGCAATTTGCCTTAAATATGTTCACATTTGTCCAAACCTAATGGCTACGTTATTTTCCGCCTTCCCACACACGTCAGATTGGAACTTCATCAAAATGCACCTCATAAGTCACTACATAGACTCTATTCGTAGGTCGGGGTTGCCCGAGCACTACTCTGCACAATTATACGAGCACCTGCACATAGAATGCATTAAAAACCCTTACAGGGCGTCCAACAAAAGGTCAGTCAATAGGCAGATCATGGGCAGCGAAGAGGCGAGGCTTCGTCTACAATACATCGCTCCACAGCTCGAGAAGAAGAAGACGAATGACACAGCCATAGTGAAGGTACGTTACAGTTGCTACTATGTCGTCTCTCACCTGAGTGAAACTCTCATTACATAGGCATTACAAGTTTGCCCATGGTCGTCGTGTGTGCAGGCCCAACGGACAGGCGAGTGGGTTCTGTCCAAAAGGACTTGGACATCGCACGTGCCTGAAACGTGTATCGCAGCCCCATACCCTCGAGTACCGGACCCGAAGCGTGATGGCCCTCTGCAGGCCATAATCGGTGAGGACTTAAAGCACCTGCGTGCGGCATTGGATAGGGCACCCGACTGTGACGGCAAGGGGAATGCTATTACTGAAGTACATGTACGTCCGGCGTCCCACACTGTGGTTCCACACCTTGTTCCACCGCAACTTACTCTGGTGGTTGTTGGTACCTATGCAGGTCTACTGGGAACTCGCCATGCCTGCCGCAATTGATGCGCAATATAGTCGTTTGCCTCACCGCATCCGTGCCCTGCCCATGCACCACGGTCGGCAATGGTTTTCTGATGTGGCTGTAAAAGGTGAGGGCTCTGACGGGGACGAGGAGTGGTTTGGGAAGACCCTCTTGTTGTTTCATGCAAACCCGTCGCGATGGTGAAACTTTAGCAGTGTGTTTAATGCCCCATAGTGTCACGAGTAATGTGGTACTAATTTTAAATTTCAAAATTCTTGCCACGCAAACTAGCCACTCACAGAAAAAATTCCCGAAAAGCTATAGAGTGTTGATTTTACCTGATAGTGTGTCGAGGGTACAACAAAGACCTTTGCATTTGTCAAGCACTACCGGGAGAAGGCCCGCGTTGATGCAGCTACCAAGTGCAAAGTATTGCACTTGGAGTCAGCTCAGCAGAGGTATGGGGTGATTAGTATTAATAGCATCAAGCGTGCAGTGCAATTGGTGCGCCCCGAGAAGGACGCAGATAAGTGGTTGGTTAACAGGTTTGCATGGTGACTCCTAGGTTAACACGCTTTATCTGATGCCTATTTTATCTATATGTATCTTGTGCATGCTTCCAGTAAGACAATTCCAAGTACAATACAAAACTAGATGCTTGTTTATCCTTTTTCTCCTAAGGCTTGGGTCTCCTGTTTACTATCGTAACTCATCAGTCCAAACATTAGTTATCCAATCAGCGTCAATGCAAGGATAGTAGCCTAATGGGTCACCCGATTCAGGTGGGGGTACTGACACTGCGCTGCGCACTGTGTCACGCACTTGTATGTGCCTACACCTCTGGCACAGGTGCGTTGAATCGTCTCAGTGCACTCGTGGCTTTGCGGAAGTCAACGATTGGCTATTGTGGTGATACAGCGCAAAAACTGATGCACTGTATTACCTTATGCGCTGTATCACATGATGTGTTGGCATTACGTAGAGCCACAACGCGGTGCAATGGGTTGTTTCGAAACGTTCTCGACCGTTCCTTGCCTTAAGCCGCGTTGCACACGTGGGTTCTTATCGCATCTGGAGCTCTGACGTGCTTGGAAAGGAATCCAACACCCACGCTGTCACCCTAGGTGTGACTGTAGGGCAGGTAGGAAAAAAAAAAGAATTATCCAATGTGCGATCAACTTGACCGCGACATCGTGCGTTTCAGCAGCTGTTCAGACAAATGCAAAATTGCATCGGTTGTACGCTATCTTCTTTGATTTTACCTCGTGGTAACCATTTCGATCAAACCTGGTTCCGATTAAATTATTTCGGTGAGAGTGCTGAACTTGCGGCATATGGTTTAAAGTGTGGACTAAGTTTTTCTAAACAACCGTTCATGTTTCGTTTACTCCTTGTTGCGTTCCGAACCTAAAAAGACATAGCGTATATTGAACATGAAAGCCTGAAATGTTTTCGTTTATGCGTGCCATTTTGAAATGTACTCAAACAAATCACTTCGGGTAGTGCGAAATGAAGGATTGGCCAATCGGAAATCATTCACTCTTGGCAAAATGGAGGAACCATTGTTGGGCTAAAATGGTTTTTTTAACTTGGTGTCGAATCACATTTACTCCACGCTGTACTCTAAAGTCATCGTCAACCATCACTTTCCACAATACAATGGTAGAAAGCCCGCAAAACATCACTTGGGCAGGCAGCAGCAAAAGAGTTTCAGCCGAGCCTGCAGGGGTCACCTTACCCCACCCTCTTTCCCATCTCAACCTTCTTGATCCCACAGCTCTCTCTCAGCTGGATGACGATGTTCTTACTCAAGAAATCAAGAGGCGTAAGCTTCTAGCCAAAGAAGCTGCTAGTAAGAAAGCTCCCGTCAACGTCCTACACGGTGTTCCGACGGAAGCACCAGTCCGTCGGGGCAGCCGCCAGAGCAAACCTGGTGGCGCAGGGCGCGGCCATACAAGCGCGACGAATGGCAAAATCCCTGCTGGCGCAACCTCCTCCGCACCTGGTTCTGCCGGCGCACGTTCCTCCGCACTAGTTCAGCCGGCGCACCCTCCGCTGCACCTGGTTCAACCGGCGCACCCTCTGCTCCTGACTCCGCCGGCGCACCCCCCGCTGCACCTGGTTCTGCCGGCGCACCCTCCTCTACACCTGGTTGTGTCGGCGCACCCTCCTCTGCCCCTGGTTCCGCTGGCGCAACCTCCGCTGCCGATCTTGGAGTCGCAATCTCGGCTCCACAGGCAAACGCGCCTAACGTCACGTCCGCTCTTGACACTGGCGGCGTGGGCTACAGTGCATCGTCAGAAGCCGCTACTCGAGCTCTCCCTGCACCGTCCTCTGCTACCGGTGTGTACGTCCGGGTCCGATGATGGCAGCAGTCATTGAGGCCGCGGAGGAGGGAGGCGTGGATCCGTTCCTCGCTTACGGCATTGAAGCTGGAAGCGACGATGACGAGCTGGACGACGACGAGGCAGATGACGCTGTCGGTGCCCAAGCGGGAGATGATGCCGAGTTGCGCACAGCGGAGCTTCGCGCAGCGGAGTTGTGCGCGACGGAGGTGCGCGCAACAGAGGCGCGTGCAGCGAAGGCGCGCGCAGCGGAGTTGCGCGCAGCGGAGGCGCGCGCAGCGGAGTTGCGCGCAGCGGAGGCGCGCGCAGCGGAGTTGCGCGCAGCGGAGGTGCGCGCAGCGGAGGTTCGCCAGACGGATAAGGCGCCACCCACCTCGCATCAGAATGAAGTGGCAGGACATACAAGGTGTGAATGGTCGCAAGGTAACGATGCACTGTAAATCCTGGTCATTCCGTGAATGCTTTGTGAATCTCTTCCTCGCTCTCTCCCCCCCGCCCGCACTCGCCCCCTCCCTCCCTTCCCTTCGTGTTATTTTCCAAAACATTCGGTTTACTTCTCGGCATGCTAAACGTGTTCACTGCTTCTATACCGTTGGCTTTGTGGCTCTCCCTAATTATAACTACTTGTTTCCACTACCTTTCTCGGTGTGTGTTATCCCCCGTATGTGTCCAATAGTTGCTGGTGCGCGGCATTTCAGGGAACCATGACAACTGGAGGCGCAACTTCGTGACCTACAGAACACTGTGTCTGTGCTTCAAGCTCAGCTACAAGATAAGGTCAAGGCGGTGGAGGCTGAACGTGACCGTCTGAAACCGCAGCTCGAGTCAATGCAGCGACAGCTTTCAGCGGAAGTCACTGGAACGAGCGCGAAAGTGGACGCACTTCCGGACCCTGCTGATCCACAAGCCCGTATGGAGAACGTCCGTAAGGATGGTGCGGGCAACCCGATCATTCCTTCATCGCTCACCAAAGACGATGCATTCGATGTAAGTATAATTACTCGTTATGTGATGCAGGTGGAATGTATTTCATGCCGTGCTCTGTTGAAGCTTGTCTCATTGAATGTTTCTTGAAACCCGTCCCCTACCCTTCCCCCCTGCTCCCGCTCTCGTCCCCTCCCCCTCTTCCCTCTGTCGTTCTTTTCAAAGTACATTCCTCAGTCTTGTGTGTAGCATGTCCGGTGCCTCAATGTAACCCCCTTCCGTATGCTTCTTTGTTTTGATTGTCAGGATATGGTGGGTAAGACCTTCGCCTGGCTCATCAATCTTGCCCCTTCAGGAGAGATGGAGTTCTATCCACTATGGGAGGAATTCCAGCCGCATTTGGTGCGCAAGTACATAGCTGAGGGGACCACGCAAGATAAGTACTACCTCTTTATGGGCGGGAACAGCAAGCGCATTGAACGGGCGCTGAAGGTGATTGGCTGCAAACGTGCGAACATGAACAAGCCGATCAAGCTCTGGGCGTGGGGTGTTGGTGGCGTCATTGACCAGGATAAATGGTTCCTCATGAAGGTTGATGGCATCACTCCAACAAAGGCGCGTGATGAAAAGGACTGGGTGGAGCAGTTCAAACACCGTGAGTGTGCTTGTCCATTCTTGCTCCCGCACCCTGCTGGAATGTTATTGCGCACAGATCTGACTGCCATTGTTTTTTATTTCTGCAGCAAAGTATGGCTACGACTGGCACTGCTCTGCTCAGGGCTGCCCTTTCGCAAATCCGGCCTTTGAGCTGGCAGTCAAGAAGGCATTCGTCAGTGCCCGGTGCAACATGTTTGCAGTGAAGATTCCAGCAATTGGCTATCTGTGCAACGTGGTAAGATGTCACTTGTGTTATTTGATCCATTTTGTTTCTCCCTGCATATTATTTGATCCATTTCATGTTGAAAGGCCCTTGGAGAATCACAAGGGCAAGAAGGGCCATGCATCTCTTGACAACAACAACACCAACAACCGCAATAACGTCCATGCCAAGACGAGGGTGGTTGCGGCATGGCTGAAAGAAACTCTTGAAAGGGAGCCAACCACATTCAAGATCGATGAGGCCATGGGGTTTGAGATGGGTGTTGGAAAGGTTAGGATTTTGATTGAGGGATATGAGCTGTTTTTCTTCTCTTCTGGGGTCGTTCCAAGTCCCTAGCCTCCTATTAACAACCTGTGATATGTTTCTAGGTACAGTAGTTTTTTCTTAGGTATATTATGAGTCGTACAAAACTTCTGGACTGCTCTAGTCCTGCTCAATTACGTCAGCCTAAATATATCAGGTAACCATGAAACAAATAATTAGACGTTGGTTGCTCAGGTAACCATATCGTGCACGCCAGCAAGCCATCTTCCCAACTGATCGTCGCAATGGTGGGTACCACCATTTCCTGCCACAACCAATGATGTTCCTACAGTCCACGTGGCCAAGCGAAGTTCACACCTCGAGCTGATGTTGTTGACGACACTGTCGTCGAACGACCGCAACCTACAGAATCCATGCGTGGTTGCTGCATCAACTACCACCCGACCGTACTTACCTTCGCACCGAAAAGTGGTTGTCAACCAACGTTGACAGCACCACCAGTTTTGGGCAGATGACTGCCACGACAATCAACTCCCATGCTCCTTCACCTCCTCGATTGTCAACTGCCCCAAACTGGGCGGACATTTTTTCGATGGAGGCGACGGTGGAAAGTAGGGAGAGGCGATGGCGGGGAGGAGGGAGAGGCAACGGCGGGAGGAACGGAGAGGCGACGGCGGGAGGGAGGGAGAGTTGATAGTGCAGTGGGAGGGAAAGGAGATGGCGGGGTGGAATGTGTGAAGAATGAGGAATGAATGCATTGAGCAGCATGAGGAGTACAAGTACCAAACCCTAAAGTGTTGTACCCCATGTAAGTTACCCCACTACAGCCTACACAGACTATAGTATATGAGTTTGACACACCCCCATAGGCAAAGTGGGGGAGAACAAGGGGTCACAAGACCAGTCAAGCAAAGCAAGGCAAAGCAAGCTCAGGGTGGATCACAACGTCACCACACATTCTGAGCACAAGTTCAAGGCCACAAGGCCAGTTCACATGCAAGATTACATATATATAACGCTAAACAAGCAAGAGCAGGTATATATATATGTAACAGTACAAGCAAGGTCAAGAAGTGAGCAAGTGAGGCAAGGTAGGCACAAGACCTAACAGAGTACAGAAGCGCTGATGATCACAAGGCGCGAGTGCCTTAGTGAAGATATCAGCAGTGTTGGCCTGAGAGGCCACGTAAGCAAGGCGCAGCTGACCACGCTGCTGCAGCTCACGAGCAAGGAAGTAGCGAAGAGCGATGTGCTTCGTTCTGTGCTCCAGTCTGTGCTCCCGACACAAGGCCAGCATGGCCTTGTTGTCTACGTACAGCACTGGAGGAGAACGAGGCGGCTCTCCCAGGTCAGTCAGCAGGTAGGTGAGCCAGCGTAGCTCCTGTGCAGCCATGGCCCCTGCGTAGATCTCAGCCTCACAACTGGAGCCGAGAACAGAAGACGAGCGGGTAGACCGCCACGAAACAGAGCCGGAACCAAGGCTGAAGGTGTAACCCTGTGACGACCGCTGCGTAGCCTGGTCGTCAGCCCAAGAAGCGTCTGCGTGACCAGTGAGGACCACTGGACTCTGCCCTCCAAGCACAAGCCCCATGCCCGACGTACTGCACAAGTAGCGCAACACCCTCTTCGCTGCAGCCATGTGCTCTGGTCTGTGTCTCCCAGGAGCAACATAGCGTGCCAGAATGCTAAGAGGGTATGCAAGGTCAGGTCGAGTGCAGGTCATCAGGTACATGAGGCAGCCAACAAGCTCTGGGTACGGGCCATTCGACTCTACGGACTCATCCGAAGGCAGAGCTGAGAGCGAGTGGCGTGTAGACAGAGGAGTGGCCTGAGGCGAGGAGTACGTGAAGCCGAAGCGCTGAAGGACCTGCTGCACCATGTGTGACTGAGTCAGGGTAATGGTGCGCCGTGCTCCGTCCCGGGTGATCTGCAAGCCAAGGTAGCTGCGCAGCTCACCCAGGTCTGTGCATGTGTGTCTCTTCTGCAGCTCCGACTTCACGTAGGCAAGTCCAGCAGTGTCAGCTGTAGCAAACACCAAGTCGTCGACGTACACGAGGATGTAGAACGGCGGCAAGGAAGAGTCGGTGCGCAGAAACAGCGACGGGTCGGCAGTAGAAGGAGCAAACCCAAGAGCCGCAAGTGTAGTCCTCAGTGTGTCGTGCCACTCACGAGGCGCGTGGCGGAGACCGTAGACTGGCCGCCGGAGGCTCCACTGGGTGCCAGGAGGAAAAGTCCCAGTGAAGCCAGGTGGGCGGCGCAGCCAGATCTCCTCGTGCAGGCTGCCCTGCAAGAAAGCAGTGCTGAAGTCAAGAGAGTGCAGCTCGTAGTCTCGGTGAGCGGCTATGTGCAGCAGTACCCGAAGAGTGGTCATCTTCGGGGTGGGAGAGAAGGTCTGAAAGTAGTCAACTCCCTGCCGCTGACTGAAGCCACGAGCCACGTAACGCGCCTTGAAGATAGGCGGAGAACCCGGCGGCCGCTTCACCCTGAAAATCCACATGCCACTGACGATGTTCGCCCCAGGCGGGGGAACCTCGTCAACGTAGGTGCCTGTGGACTTCCAGGAAGCCATCTCTGCGTCCATGGCTGCCTGCCACTGAGAGGAGTAGGGACCCTCTATCGCCTCCGCGTAAGAGCGCGGAGTCGGGATGTCAAGTGCATCCGGGTCTCCCTCAGGGGCAAGCAGCATGGACACAAGACGAGGTGAAGCAGCAGCCAAGCACTGGAACTCCTCCTGCCTGTCCTCAAGGACGTCCGTGCCAAGAGCACACTCACCCCCGACGGACGGAGGACAGACAGACTCAGACTCAGCGACGAGACTGGCAGCGTAGTCTAGGCGACAGCGAGCAGCGAAGTCGACAAGCTCAGCAACTAGAGCAGACGCAGCAGTAGACTCAAAGGAAGGGTCAGTGACGACAGTAGCAAGGAGACGCGTGACAGTAGGACTCGCAGCACGAAGGGAGTCCGACTCCGGGTCAGCAAGTGCAGGAAGAGAGGACTCGGGAGGAGAAGGCAAAGGGGCACGCAGTGGAGCAGTGGAAGGACGCAGAGACATCCGGTGCGTGCCGGGGACAGGGGGAGGACGCTGACCCAAACCACGACCACTAGTGCGAGCAGCACGGACAGGCGACGCAGGGCGAGACGCAGGCTCACGACGCTCAGCAAGACCTCCAGTAGGACCAGTGTAGGGAGAAGGAGAAGGAAGCGGGGAGGCTGGCTGTAACTGTGACTCAGACTGGACAGGAGGCGGACACTCTAAGCCAGGAGCAGGACCAAGAGAGGACGGAAGACCAAGAACCTGCTCAAGGAGCGGAACGAAGTACGGCCGTGGCCGCGCAGCGCCACCAGTACCAGCAGGAACAGCACCAGCACCCC